CAGACAATATTTGGAAACAAATTAACAAATTAGAATTAGCTTCTGTAAGTAATTTTCAGAATTCAAAATGTGAAAAATTGGTTATTGAGAATTTAGTCAGAACAAATGAAATTATGTGTGAAAATTTTCAAAAACTTTCTATGGAGTTAAGTGAAAATAAAAAGAATATTCATCAAAATAGTTTTAGGTCGCGTTCGACTAATAGAAACCGTTTTAGAAGTGCTTTTAGAGGGCGTTCGGAATCATTTGATACTCCAAATTGGTTATGTAGGTATCATTACAAATTCGGTAACAATGCAAAGAAATGTGAACAACCTTGTACGTTTTCAAAAAATAAGGATTCCTTAAACTAAAATCATCTGTTGTTGTGGCGACAAACAACGGATATTTAGAGTTTTCTACACGTCGCCTCTTTATTTTTGATAAACAGAACAATTTAAATTTTTTAATTGATAGTGGTACTTCCGGTTTCTAAATTTCGATGTACAAAAAATCTGCGGATATTGTTTTAACGGCAGCTAACGGTTCTTAATTTCAACCTTCGGAAAAAAGCTTTTAAATGTTAATTTAGGATTAAGGCGGGAATTCTCATTCACATTTTTAATAGCTGATATTGCGAAACCTATTATAGGTGCAGATTTTTTGTGCAAATTCGGTCTTTTAATTGATATTAGACACAAACGATTAGTAGATCCGCTTACTAATCTTTCGGTTAATGCGATTTCCTTCTTTTGTTCGGTTCCTCTTCCATTCAATTCTTCAATTTTTGCTGTTGATAATAAATATATAGAAAATTGTTAAAAGAACTCCATCACTTATTGTAGAACCAGATTATTCCAAACCTGTTAGGCATTCAACGGTACATCGACTTGATACAGTAGGAAACCTTCCATTTTCTAAGCCAAGGCGCTTAGATCCCATAAAGTATCAAGTTGCTAAACGTGAGTTTGATTTCTTAATTAAATCAGGAATTTGTAGACCTTCAAGTTCTTCGGTAGCGTCTCCAATTCATTTAGTACCAAAGAAGGAAGTTAATGATTGGCGTCCTTGCGGTGATTTTAGAAGACTTAACATTGTGACTGTAGCGGATCGTTACCCTTGCCTCCTATTCATGATTTTAATATGAATCTTAGAAACAAAAAAATATTTTCAAAATTAGATTTAGTTAGAGCGTACCATCAAATTCCCATGGCAGAAGAAGATATTTATAAAACAGCGATTACTACTCCTTTTGGCATGTTTGAGTTCACCTGAATGCCTTTCGGACTTAGAAATTAGGCACAAACGTTTCAAAAATTCATCAATGAAGTAGTTAACAATTTCGAATTTGTCTTTGCGTATATTGATGATCTTCTTATTGCAAGTGAAAATGAAGAACAGCATATTAAGGATCTTCATGTGCTTTTTCAACGTTTAGCTGAGTACGGTCTTAATATCAAACCAAACAAATTAGTTATTATTTTCGGTGTTACGAATATTGATTTTTTAGGACATAACATTTCTGAGACAGGAATACAGCCTTCTGAAAATAGGGTAGAAACTATTAGAAATTTTGAACGACCAATGTCAATTAAGCAGGCACAAAAATTTATAGGGATGGTTAATTACTATCATAGATATATTTCAAAATTAGCAGAGTATACTGGTGTTATTTGTGATTTGATTAATAGAACAAGTAAAAAACGAGACAAGATTCTAGTTTGGGATGACAAGTCGATTAAAGCTTTTGAATGTATTAAGGAGAAATTTTCATCTAAGGTTTTGTTAAATCATTTTAACAAAGATGCAAAAATATCTTTAATGGTAGATGCATCTAATACGGCAATTGGAGGTGTCATACAGCAGCATTTTGATAACAAGTCTGAACCAGGGTTGTTGCGAATATTCGCATTCGCATTCGCAACTGCGGAACTTCCGCATTTATTTTAACATTCGCATTCGCTTTCGCATTCGCAAAAATCAATGCGGATCTTTTGCGAATGCGAATATTGAAGGGACCGAAAATTACAGTTATTTTTTTACGAGTTAAACTTGGCCAAATATTTTTTATTCCGAAATAAATGTTCTTTCCGGATAATAAACAAACCGCTTATCCAAATTAAACAAGTTTGGTATCCAATGAAAGAGGACT